GTAGGGGATGGGGCAGGGCAGGGCCTGACAACAATGCAAACTTTGTAAGCAGTTCTTGATAATCACTTCTCAGCAATTATTTGTTATTATTACAGTTTAACATTATAAAATTAACAAAAATAATATAAAACTCATATTCTGGCGAAATAGCCACACGGCAGCCGAAAACTGTATATTCCCTTCTTGTTCTCCTGCCTGTTCGTGCATTCTTTCCAAAAATCGGGACTTTTTAAAAACGCCACGGAACTCAGGACAAATTGTTGAAAAGTGGGACAGTCCTGCCAAAAGCAGGACGTCTGGTCACCCTACGCAAAGGACATTAAGGATCTTTACAGAGAGAACAACTGAAACCCTGAGAAAAGAAATAGCAGGTAACAAGTGGCTGGAAAGAATCAACATTGTTAAACAGTTCATACTACCCAAAGTGATCTACAGATTTATGCAATCTCCATCAAAATACTAACATCATACTTTGAAGAACTTGAAAAAATAGTACTTCATTTCATATGTAATTCAAATAGCCAATGCAATCCTAAGAAATAAAAACAAATCTGGAGGAATCATGTTACCAGACTTCAGGTTATACTACAAGTCTATGGTGTTCAAAACAGCGTGGTACTAACACAAAAATAGAGACTTAGATCTATAGAACAGAATAGAGAACTTAGAAATGAAACCAGTGATGTATCACAATCTAATCTTCAAAAACCAAATAAAAGTATAAACTGGGGAAAAGAATCCCTATTTAGTAAATGGTGCTGGGAGAGCTAGTTAACCACATGTAGAAAACTGAAACTGTACCCACACCTCTCACTGCTTACAAAAATTAACTCTTGCCAGATAAGGGATTTAAATTTAAGATACAAAACAATAAAAATTCTAGAAGAAAGTGTGGGAAAACCTCTTAACAACACTGGCCTGGGAAAAGATTATAGCAACACCAAAAATAAATAAATGGGACATGATCAAACTAAGCAATTGCAGCAACATCAAAAATAAATGAATGAGACAAGGTCAAACTAAAAAAGCCTCTGTACAGCTAAGGGTACAACAACTAAAGCAAACAAACTTCAGAATGGGAAAAGATACTTGACAAGGATTAAATAACTAGAATTTACAAAGAACTAGGATAGCTGTGTACATTAATGCAATCATGGGGTACAGTGTGGTATTTTCATATACAATCTGAAATATTGTCATGAAACTGGTTAACACAGCCTTCATGTCATTTTCTTAGTTTTTGTGTTACGACGTTTATATTCTACTTTTAGAAAGATTCACTTGTACCCTTGAAAGATAAACCATAGAGGTGATCCCTCCAATCACCCTCCCTCCACCCATCCACCCCTCTCCTTTCCCCATCCCTCCCCTCCATTCTTAGGCTATAATTAGGTTATAGCTTTCATATGAAAGCTATAAATTAGTTTCATAATAGGGGTGCATACATTGGATACTTTTTCTTCCATTCTTGTGATACTTTGCTAAGAAGAACATTTTCCAGTTCCATCCCTGTAAACATGAAGGAGGTAAAGTCTCCATCTTTTTTATGGCTGCATGGTATTCCATGGTGTACATATACCATAGAAGTAGGCAAGAGCTATGAACAGAACTTTCTCTGAAGGAGACAAATAGCTAAGAAACATAAAAAATGCTCATCATCCCTAATCATCAGAGAAATGCAAATCAAAACTACCCTGGGATATCACCCATAACCAGTGAGAACAGCCCACATCATAAGTCACAAAGCTGCAGGTGCTGGCGTGGATGTGGAGAGGAGGGAACACTTTTATATTGCTGGTGGGAATGCAAACTAATACAACTTCTATAGAAAGAAGTATGGAGAATCCTTGTCGAGACCCCTAAGGCCCTGGTCCCAGTCCCTGCACAAAGGAAACAGGCATGACAGGGATTAGAAGTACAAGCTTGCGGGAAGTGGGCTAACCTTAAGTGCACGGTAGCCCAGAGCCCCCTCCACAACAGCTGTTTCTCAAGGTTATACACAACAAGTGCGGAGAGCTAAGGTAATCACATAGGAGAGCTGCATGTGTTAGGACTGCCATGTGCTCTTTCCTCATGTGCTCTTGCCCCACAACCCCCATGAAGAAGTACTAGGCATCAATGTTTAACACATGCTTACTAGTGAGTGACGATCTTATCTCATTCCAGAACACTGAGTAACTTGGGGGACTGCCCCCAAGTCACAACACGTCTCTAGGCTTGCCAGGAGACTATCCTGTTCTCAGCATTTCCTTTTACTGTGATAAGAATCAGTACTGTCCTTTGAAGCATGGTGTCCATTCCTCTACAAATCCTCAAAGACCTAAAACTAAACCTTCCATTTGATTCTGCCATCCCATTACTACGTATCTACCCAAAAGGAAAAAAAAATCACTTTACCATAAGGACATCTGCACTAGAATGCTCATCAGTGCACAATTCACGATCACTAAGATTTGGAATCAACGTTAAGTACCCATCAGCTCATGAGTGGATTAATAAACTGCGGTATATATACACCATGGAATGCTATTTAACCATAAAAAAGATACAAAAATACATCTTTTGTATTTACCTGATGGAGTTGAAGCACATTCTTCTTAGTAAAGTATCACAAGAATGGAAAAGCAAGTATCCAATGTATGCAATATTAATATGAAACCAATAGATAAATAACTACACCCTAACATGAGAGAAAAACAATTAAATTCATGTGTGTAGGGGGGAGGGGAGGATTGGTAAACTCTCACCCAATAGGCACAATTAACGGGTATACAGCACACATCCTGGGTGAAGGGCTCAACCACAACTTGAACTTAACTTGAATAAAATTTTTTTAAAAAGATATAGTTCTTAGGGGAAACTGTGTGAAGGATATATCAAGATTTCTATATATTTTTGTATGGTACAGCTGTAACTTCTGTCAATCTATAATTACCTCAAAATAAAAAGTTAAAAATACTGTCCATGGAGAAAAATGTTGTCTATGGAGAAAAATATCATCCATTCCATTTGTGATGGTTAATTTTATGTGTCAACTTGACTACCCCTGAGGTACCCAGATCAAACACTATTTCGGAGTGTTTGTCTGTGAAGGTATTTCCAGATGAGATTAGCCTTTGAATAGATAGACTTAGTACAGATTTCCCTCCCCAGTGTGGGTGGGCCTGAATAGAACAAAAGGCAGATGAAGGAAGAATTCACCCCTCTGTTTCCTGCCAGCCTACTTGAGCTGGTACATCTCATCTTAGCTTCTTCCGCCCTCAGACTGAGGTTTATACAAATGACTCCCCTAGTTCCTAGGCCCTCAGAATTGGACTTAAATTATACCACCAGCTGTCCTGGGTCACCAGCCTTTCTGAATCCTCTGCTTGCAGACAGCAGATCATGGAATTTCTCAGCCTCCATAATCACATGAGCCAATCTGTCATCATAAATCACACACACACTATATATATATTCCTTATAATAAAACATATATGTGTATATATGTGTGTGTGTTTTTATACATGGGTGAGTGTGTATATATTTCCAACTGTATCCTCATCTAGCACACATCTTAGGACCAACAGTTTACAATTATGAGATAACTGACTGGGGTTAGAAGTTCACCTTCAAACTGGTATCAGTGGAGATATACATGTGTGTTTGTTCTCAAGGGACCAGTAGACAAAGTGGATACCAGTGGAGATATATGTGTATATTTTTTCTCAATGGACTAAGTGAGTTTATAAATATAAACTCCTTGTAACATCTAAATGGCTTTAATTAGAAGGCAAAAAGCTCTGTAATTTAGATGTGTTACATTTCTACTCTAAATCCCCTTCCCTTTCCTCCCTATCTTTCCCTATTAGCAAAGATTATTCCGTGTACTGGAACCAAATGAATATAGAGATGTCACTGGCAATCCCCACCCCAAACAATCCACAGCTATCTCCTGTTACAAGGTTGTCTGACCCCTTCTTGGTAACATTGAGGGGTAGGAAAAACCATTTGGATATTGCAGCAAACTGATCTGATCGTAACAATTCCAGTTCTGCTCTCGAGTACTACAAGGAAAACTCTTTCATTTCCTAGTATAAGATTCATCTTTGAAGTAATGTCTAAACCAAGAAGGCTAAAATGCTGATTTTATACTGATTTGTTTCACTGACTGGCAATCTGGTCAGTGGTAGAAATAGCAGATCCCAGAAGTTCTTGGGATCAAAATGCAAACCCATTTTTCTTTTGTTTCTTCTTTTGAATTCATCTAGAACCTCCTTTAGAGTATGTATATTATTATTTAGAATCCTAATCCTTAGAGGCCAGTAAGAATTATTTTCCACCTTCCTTTACAGTATCTTAGGCTATCTTTTTTGGTGTCTGGGTAGTCTAGTACCTTTTGGAAAATAATCCTAATCCATCTTCTGTATGAGGTCTGACAAGTTTACCAACTTGCCACCATGCACTTACACATTGGCAGCACTGTACAAACCACTCGGTAAGGTTTCATAGCCTTGGTATATCAGTGTCTCAGATTTGTGATCATGTTGATATGTGGTGGTATCTTGTGGAGTTCATTATTGTTGGTGCATGTTTTGTGTGCTGTTGCAAGAATGATGGAGCTTGAATTAGAGCAAGAACCAACATAATTTCTTGTTAAACTTGGCAAAAATAGAAGTATAATCAGGGACAAGTTAGTCCAAGTTTATGGGCATAATGCCATGAAGAAAATGGCAGTATACAAATTAAACATTTTTATGAGGGGCAAGAAAGAATTACTGATGAAGAGAAGTCAGGGTAGGCAGTAACAATCAGAATTAACAAAAACATTGCAAAAATTTGTCAAATTGTGCATCAAAATCATGGGCTGACTGTGAAAGGTATAGTAGGCCAAGGAAATAACAATAGAGAAACAGGAAAATCTTAACTGAAAATCTTGGCCAACAACTCATGGTTCTTGCATTAGAACAACGCACCACCTCACACAGCACTATGTGTGAGGGAGATTTTTGTCAGTAAACAAACAACTGTTTTGGAACAACCTCCCTATTCACCTGATCTGGCCCCTGGTAAGTTTTCTCTTTACCCAAAGATAAAAGAAATATTGAAAAGAAGACATTTTGATGATATTCAGGATATCAAAAATAACACAACAGCTCTGATGGCCATTCCAGAAAATTGCTTTGAAGGGTGAAGTAGGCACAGGTGTCAATGCAGAGCTTCCTGAGGGGAGCACTTTGAAGGTGACTATAGTGGACATTCAGCAATGAGGTATGCAGCACTTTTTCTAGGATGAGTTCAGGAACTCAACTGTCAAATCTTATATGCATATAAAACTTAGTATACTATTCCAAGTTAGGCAAAGACCTGCTTTTTCCTTTTACTGTCCTACACAATCAATTCCAATTTTTGATATAATTTATTTCTTAAATTGTTCTGTTTATTTCTTAAAGTATCATTTGATCTTAAACAGATAAATATATTTTGTCAATTTTACTGATAATACAAATTCCAATTTTTATAAATATAGAAGTATCAAAAGAAAGAGAAGCTGGTTAATAATTAAAGAAGGAAGTTATTTCTTTTATAATTGACAAATAAAAATTGCACATATTTATCATACAACATGATGTTCTGAAATATGTATGCAATGTAGAATGACTAACTCAAGGTAATTAATATATGTATTACATCATAATATTTATCATTTTTATGTTAAGAGCACTTAAAATCTCTCTTGGCAATTTTTAAGCATATAATACCTTGTTACTAATTATAATCACTATGTTGCACAATAGTTTTCTTGAACACATCAATTATTCCTCCTACCTAACAAATTTTGTATCTTTGATCAATATCCCCTTACCTATGTCCTCTCAACCCCAGCCCCTGGTAACTGCCATTATATTCTCTACTTCTGTGAGTTCAACTTTTTTAGATTCCTTATGTAAGTGATATCTTACAATACTTGTCTTTCTATACTTCATTTATTTTTTGAACTTTGTGACTCCCCATTACCTACTCGGGAAAGTTCATTTCTATTAGTTCAAATTTCTCTTAAGGCGAACAATTTTGTGGTAGGAAAGGGAACTACAATAGGCTCATTACAGAGCTATAGTTACATAAGAAAGTATAAGACGTAGGAAAGCAATAAACTATAAGTACCTTCTTTAGAGGCTGAAGAGAAAAACACAAAGCATTCTAGACCTCAAAATAAGCAGGCACTGTTTTCTCACTAAAAAATGCTGACCAAGCCCTTTATTTCAAACTTTCAAGAAAAAAAGCAACTCACAGTATAATTAGTTGCTTGAATGTTCCTAAGTGCTGATTCCAGTTGTGTTATCAAGAAACGTAAAGTCAAAGCAGGAACAATTTCTTCCCCATTCTGGCTGTCAGCTGCAACTTCTCTCTGTGGAAAATAATATGGCTGGAGATTTATTTAGGTTAGAGCAAATATCTACATACATTTATATTTTACAAATAATATATACTTATTGCAGAAATTTTGGAAAACAGAAATAAAAAAAAAAAACCCATACTTTTTTTTGTTTTTTTATTGAGACAGGGTCTCACTTTGTTGCCCTCAGTAGAGTGCTGTGGCGTCAAAGCTCACAGCAACCTCCAATTCTTGGGCTCAAGCAATTCTCTTGCCTCAGCCTCCAGAGTAGCTAGGACTAAAGGTGTCCGCCACAACACCTGGCTATTTTTTTGTTTTAGCAGGCCTGGGCTGGGTTCGAACCCACCAGCCCTGGTGCATATGGCCAGCGCCCTACCCACTGAGCTATGGGCGCCACCCTCTCACACTTGTTTTTAAGAAGGCTGACAATCTCCTTTTGCTGTAAGGACTCCCAGCCCTCTTTCCCCGCCCTCTCCCATTCCTCTGCCCTCTCTTCCAGCCAGTTCCCATACCCCCCAGAGTTGAAGCACAGGGAAGTCCCAAGTTTCACAAAAACCCCCAAGTTCTCAGAACAATGGTGGAATCCACCAAGGCCGTAAATCCATGCCCCCCAGAAGCACAGGGAAGTCCCAAGTTTCACAAAAACCCCCAACGAACAATGGTGGAATCCACAAGGCCGTAAATCCATGCCCCCGAGTCGAAGCATGGGGAAATCCCAAGTTTCACAAAAACTCCCAAGTTCTCAGTCAACGAACAATGGTGGAATCCACCAAGGCCGTATTAATCATGGTTATGTAACTGTAACCATTGTGATTTGAGATATATCCATTGTCAACCAAGACTGTATTAATCGTTGTTACATAACTGTAACTACTGCTGTATCCATGATTACCCAAGCTGTAACCCTCCCCCTCATCAGCCACGTTTTGCTTCTGTAGTATGCTTGCACAAAAAATATATAAGATAACTTGCCCACTACTGGGACAGAACTGTCTCTCAAGGCAGTCCCCTGAGCAGATTCAATAAATTTCTGATTGACTGCACTTAAGGGGGGTCCAACTCTATCTTTTCAGGTCATAGGGGGCACAACACTTTGTAACTATTTCCTCAAAACTCTAAAAAACATTTCTATGCCTGCCAAGGGGTAGTAAATATCTACTGCTTCAGAAGAAGATGGTAATCCCAGCTCATTCTCGTACTTACTATTCTCTAGCATAGCTAAAATCTTCCTCCCAGCCCTGAACCTATGATAAACAGGTATGCTGGCATTAATACCAATACCAGGGTAAGCCATCTTATACTGTAACTAATTGGAACTGAGCTAATATATACTTTATTGTGTACTGCAGTTTGTTAATTACATGGTTGAAATAAAAGGATAGACTACATCTTACCATTGTGTTCATTCCCCACAAATGTCTGGCTTAAATTATACTATGTGTTTAATGATATATATTCTACATGTGAGGTTTAATCTACACCTTTAACTTGGTTTCTAGTATATAATACTTTCTTGTTTTCCTCCTAGTTAAGTACTTGCTTAATGTCAGTCTGTTCAGCAATCAACCTAATAAACCTTTTGTCTATCAACATAGATTCTACTGATAAAGTAGTCCACTATCATATTTCTAAATAGTGTCTACACACTGACAGTTTCTAAATTTATATTTCCTACCAAAAACTATCATTTGAATTCTAGCCTCATATCCAGATATTTATTCAATAGTATCTTTTGAATCTGAATAGGAATATATAACAGTACCGAAGTTCCACCTCTGTTAAACAGCATAGGTGGTTTCAGATGAATCTTCCCAATGAGAACAAAAACAGTTGGACAAAACAGAAAAACCTGAAACTAGGAGATTAAAAATCACAGATCTATATAATAGAAAATCACAATTAATCTAGAAGGGAAGAGGAGAGGAGGGGGAACAGTAGCTTTTCACACAATGGGTACAATGCATGGATAAACGGCATACTCCCTGGGTGTAGGACACAACTACAACTCTGATTTTTACTTGTCATGTGTAAATTATATAACCTAATGATTTGTACCCTCATATTAATCTGAATTAAAAAAAGAATGAAAAAACTAAAAAAAGCCCTTTATATATATAAATATTTCACATATATATGTGTGTACATATATATGCCAATTTAATCTGAAAGCAATGTAAAGCTAAAAAGGCACTGAAAATCTCTCAGATCAACTATAGAAGAGGAGGTAGGACTAGGATCATAAGATTAACTTATTTTTCTCTTTAGAACAATTTCCATATTCAGTCATGGCTGAGATTCTACTCAGAGGCTTCAGAAGATTTACAGAACCAAGGGGAAAACTGGAGAGCAAGGCCTATCAAGGAGGAGGGGCCCTGGTCACTACTCCATTCCTTTGCAATGGAAGCAGACCATAATATAAGGATGTGAATGCAAGTAGTTTATTTGGGAGGTATAGAGAAAAATGATAAGAAGTGATATAGGAAGGGAAAGCAGGCTTTAAATTAAAGGGTGTGCTACTAGGTTGAGTAGTTTCTGGGGTGAAGGGGAATGTTATTAACTCCTAGGATCTTCTGAACTGCCAAGAGAAGTAAAGCTTTCTACAGTTCCAGAAAAAAGGCCCTGAGGCATAGGTAAGGTCCTATGGTTATGGGCAGACCAGTGACAGCATTATGCTACAAAAAGTATAGAAACAGACCTTTCCTCACAGAACATAAGCAAAGCTTGTCCTAATCCCTGGATGAATTAAGCAATCTACTAGAAAAGTACAAATAAGAACTACTTGGAAAGATTCTGCCCAGTTGTTACACTTTTTCAGAGAAATATTGCGTTGAAACAAACCAGACAGCCAATGGAATTTGTATTGATGTTTTCATTTTCATTTTGTGTTTTGGTTACTTTTTTAAAACTCTCTTATCAACCATTTATCAATTTTACGGGTCTTAAAAAAAAAAAAACTAAGAAGTTTTGTACCATAGACTGCATAGCTACAATTTTAAAAATTTTAAAAAATACAAAAAACCCACCAAGCTTTGGCCTTATCGATCATCTTTATTTTATGTTTTATTTTATCTGTTTGAGATATCCTTATTTCTTCCTTTCTGATTCGCTGTTCTTAAATCAACCTTCCATCAACTTCATGTTTGATGACTGATTTCAATCTTGCTTTTTCTTATCTATAAATTTCAAGCTACAAATGTTCCTGAAAGCACAGCTTTACCTAATAAGTTTTGATATATATTTTTTATTCAGATCAAAAATTTATTTAACTTCCACTGTAGTTCTTCTTTGACCTATTGGTTACCTAGATTAAAGGTATATAGGATAACTTATGAACATATGGTTTTTCTGGTTTATCTTCCTGTTACTTAATTATAGATTAACTGTACACTAATTACAGAACATGTTCTCTATGTTTTATTCCTTTGAAATCTGACAAGACTTGTTTTCTGACCTAGCATCTTATCATTTATGGAAGTTTTTTATGTATTTGGGCTTACTTCTGGAATTTCTCTTTTATTTTCTAGACTTGTCTATATAAGCAGTGTCAAGAACAAGTAACAAATTCTTTTTAGTTATTACAGCGTCATAAATTATCTTAACTATGTGAACAAAAAGCCCAGCCCTTTTCTCTCGTACTTCTCTTAATATAATTTTCTTGGCTATTTTTCCTCCTATTCCCCATGTATTAGCTTTTAGTTACACTAACCAAAAAATTCCTTATGTTTTATTGGAATGATAATGTATTTGTAGATTTTAATTTAGGAATAACTAGGCTATTCATACACGTCCTATTTTAACATACGGGGTCTTCCAACATGTCCTATTTTCCCTTCAGATCTTCTTCTCTTAGCCTTAATACAATTTATTTAGAGAGTTTTATTTATTGTTATAATATGGAATATTTATTTCTAAACTTAATGTGAATAATATCAGTCTGTGGGTGCTTGCTAAAATATAGATTCCCAGATTTATCCCCAGAGATTTTGATTCTTTAGAACTAGTACTGGGTTTAGAAGTGCTCACAGAAGTGGTAAGGACAAACGTACAAAAATACTAATTTACCTTGTACATTTCCTAAGAGTTTTTCCTACATATTTTACTTTTTCATTGCTATCACAAAAAATCACAGCTGGTCCTTTGTATATGTGCATTCCAGATCTATGAATTCACGGGTTGAAAATATTTGAAAATTAAATAAAAAGTAAGAATAATAAAAATAATACAAATTAAAAAGATAGTATAGTCTAACACTATTTACACAGCATTTATATTGTATTATGTGTTATAAGTAATTTAAAGAATATAGGAGGGTGTGCATAAATTATATGCAAATACCATGCCATTTTATAAAATGAACTTAATCATCACAGATTTTAGTATAGTTGATGGTCCTGTAACCAATCTGTCACAGACATGAAAGATGGCTATACTTTTCTTCTTTTTTTACTTCTTATTAGATATATTTTGTATATCTGAAGGTTACTAGTTTCTGTTTCTTGTTCCAGGGTGATTTCCAAAAGGTGAGAGGGAATGATAGCATTATTTCACCAATTTCAAGCCAAAATTTATTCATACTATGGTAAACCATCTCAGTTAAGATTAAATTAAGTAACTGTATATAAAGTTTTATGAATATTTCATATTCAGAGTTTGTTTGAATTTTTAATCACAATAGTATTAATCTGTTTCATGGAAATAATTAATGATGTATTTTTTTCATAGAAAAGACAAATGTGGCCTTTTCAAGATACCTATGGTGTTTTGCTCCCCTCTCCACCAGTTAATTGTCACTAAGAAAAGAGTAGATCATTAACTTTAGGAAAACCTGATAATTGAAAAAATGGTACCCTTCCTATGATGAAAGTTACCAACAAATTTGTTGATAGTAGGTCTTCAGCATCTATAGCTTACAGAGCTGGAATAGACAAGATAGATACTTCTCCTTCCCTATGAGACAGATTGTGCAACCAGAACTGAATCATATTGTCCTATATTGGAGCCAAGAACTCTAGTCCTATAGCCACAAGGAATTGAATTCTGCCGTCAACCATGTGAGCTTGAAAAGTAGCCTATGCTCCAGAAAGAATGTAGTTTGGCCGACAACTTGTTTAAGACAACTTGTTTAAAGTCTTTTGAGACCTTAAGCAAAGGACCCAGAGATGGGATTTCACTTTGTCATACATGCAGACTGGAGTGCAGTGGTATGATTATAACTCACTGTAGCCTCAAACTCCCGCCACAAGCAATCTGTCTGCCTCAACCTCCATTATAGTTGGGACTATATGCAACTTCAACATCCAGCCACAGAGACAAAAAAAAAATTAACGAGAAGAGAAGGAAGAGAAAAAAGTAGAAGGAAATAAACAAGATAACACACATAAGGAAGAACCAATAAAAAATTGTGGTAACATGAAAAAACAGAACAGAGCAACCCCTCCCCCAACAGATCACAAGGCACAGAGCATCCCACCTATAAAGAAATTATGGAAATATCAGAAAAGAAATTTAAACTTTGAATGGCAAAAATGATGAAAGGACTTGAAGGGAAAGTGGAAAACTACCAAAAGGAAATCCAAAAATTGACCCAAGAAATGAAGAAAAGACATTATAAAATTAGGATATATTGGAAATTACAGAATTACAGGAGTCATATTAAACCACAAAGAAGAAAGAATCTCAAAGCTAAAGGATAAGGCTCTTGAGACAAACTCAGTCATTTAAAGAGGCAGAAAAGAACTAAAAAAAAAAAGCATCTCTTAGAGAATTATGGAATTTCCCAAAGTGTATAAACATACAAATTATAGCTATCCACATAGGAAAAGAATAATGACCCAAAGTTATAAGCACCCTGCTAAAATATACAGAACTGAAAATTTCCCAAGCATCACCAAAGATTCAGACATACTCTCTTAGATGGATATAGAACCCCTGTTCATCTCAATATAAACTTATTATCTCCTAGACACATTGTAATGAACCTGGCCAAAGTCAAAATGAAAGAGAAAATTCTGCAAGCAACCAGGAGTAAGCACCAATTGACCTACAGGGGCTGATCCATCAGGGTGACAGCAGATTTCTCAGCTAGAACTTTACAAGCCAAAGAGCTAAGACTCTTGACTTTCAACTTAAACACAACAACTTCCAGCCTAGGATCCTGTGTCTGTCCTGGCAAATTAAGTTTCATATTCAATGAAAAACTCAAGTCTGTTACTGATAAGCAATCATTGAGGAAATTTACCACTACAAGACCAGCCCTGCAGGAAGCAGTCAGACCTTTCTACACACAGACTATCACAATGAACCTCCAGCAAAGTAAAGACCCCTGGAAATGAAAGATCAAAGCCTACGTCCCCCAATGGCCAAAGTGATAAAAGTGGTAATTGACCTCCACTAAACAAGACAAACAGAACTCTACCATATTTATCAAGTCTCTCAATAAATGTGAATGGCTTGAACTCCCCACTGAAGAAGCATAGACTGGATTGAAAAAGCACAAGCCAAACACATAACATCTTCAGAAAACACATCTAATCTTTAAGGACAAATAAGACTCAGGGTACACAACTGGAAAACAACATTTCAAGCAAACAGAAATCACAAGAAAGGAGTAGTCCCAAATTTATTTGCAAATACAAGTGGATTTAAAGCAACAAAAGTAAAGAAAGACAAAATGGACACTATATACTGGTCAAAAGAACAATACAACAAAAAGACGTTTCAATTCTAAATATATATGCACCAAACTTAAATGCTCCCAGATTTATAAAATGAAAGATACCAAAAATTATTATACAGAAAAATTATTTTCAGAAAGAAAATCTATAATATATTCTTTAGAATATTTATTTCATTCATAAATCTAAGTTTGAACATTATTTTTGAAAAATGTCAACATTTTACAAATTAGAAAATAAAAAGCAGCCCCCGTCCTAGAGTGGCATGTTGTAGGTTACTAGTAGTATTGGAACACTAGACCTTATAGTTAATAGTTTATAAGCTACCAATTCACATGCCTACCATTATTCTTAAAAGGCTAACACCAATGAATTCTATCTATGTAATTAACAAATATGTATAGTTAAAGTTAACACCAAATCCCTTTACAAAAAGATGGAGATTTTAAGATCTTAGCTATATTTTATGATTTAAAAAAAATGTCATGTACATAGAGTTGTACTTCTGCCTTAAAGGACAGATTCTGATGTTACCTGCATAGTTTGGAAGGAAAAATCTTCTTGCAGGAACTTCTTAATGTGAGGAACCACACCTTTTGGTAGAGTATTAATTGCATTTAATAACTTCTTCACTTCTAATAGTAGGTTAACAGGGACAAGATCAGTAGGTATATCCTTTTCCTGTTTGTCCTAGAAGACATTATTCATTGAACATTTAGACAATTATATATATTCTCATTTACTCTAACACTAAAACAAACCAAAGTATTAAAAAGGAACAAAGTGCTTACTATAAGTAGATCACTGTGACAGAACTACAGAAAATCCAAGTAAGACTAATAAATATTCTCTGTGTTGTCAGGGACTTACATATTAATATTATATAGATTATTCTACATAATATGAAAACCATATCTATGAGTGTTTTTTATATGACTGATACTTTAGATACTAACATGACATTGACAATGAATAAGGCTTATAAAGAAACTAAAAGAGAATGACTCTCATTATATTAATTCAGAGCTGAGAGGGCTCTGGGAAACAATAATAGTAAATGAACTTGGGAATTCTAGAACTGATTCCTACAGAGTTAATATGGCTATTGTTAATGGTTAATTGATAACTATACAGTCAAGTCCTGCTAGATTGTCTACTAACACTAGTTTTAAAAAACTCAAGCCTTGATAAGACACCACGGTTCTCATACCCTGTTGAAACTTTAGAAATATGATTATGTTGCTATTGACCTCTGCAAATCAGAAATAACAGCTTGTTATTGCAGAAAGCACACAGAGTCACTGAAAATGCTCTGATGTGGGTTGATACTTGAACATCAGGCACTAACAAACACAGAACTACATAGGAAAGTGACTAGGAACCAATGAAGTCTACTATAGGACTATCTCTCTAATCTCCCTATGTGGATTAAATTAAGATAGTTCTATTCCCATTTATAATATATTTAACAAATATACTTTATATTTTATAATATTTCATATATGAAGATTATATATGTTGAAAAATATAAACCACTTTCTAAATCTCTGTGAAGAGTGTTCATTGTGCTAGTCATTATACTACAGGTATTCATTGTATTCTTGCGATTGTTCTGTAGATTTGAAATTTGTTCAAAAAGTTTAAAAAAGTCCTAAAAAGTAACTAGAAAAACTCTTATAAAGAATTACCACTGTCAGTAGTGCGTATACAGAAGAACCTTTGTAAGTTGACCACTTTACTGTAACAGTTGACTGTAGGAGACTGGTCAACATACAGAAGTGGTCATCATAAGGAACTAGGCCTACTGTACTAATACGTACATGCGCTGCATGTCCATTGTATGAAAATTAGGTCAATTTAAGGAAGTGGGCAATGTAGCAAGGTGGTTAACTATGGAGGTTCTACTGTATTTCAAATTAAAGGTCAACTCTGCAGTGAAAAGTCACTGAAGAATCACCTGATCCTAATCAAGAAATTTAAACACAAGCAAGATTATGGGATGAAAATGAACTAAGCTTCACACCTATTAACCATTTCTTTTTTTTTTTTTGGATACAGAGTCTCAAGCTGTCGTCCTGGGTAGAGTACTGTAGCATCACAGCTCACAGCAACCTAAACTCACGGGCTCAAGGGATTCTCTTGCCTCAGCCTTCCCAAGTAGCTGGGACTACGGGCGGCTGTTTTTATTGTTGTTGTTGCCATTGATGTTTTAGCTGGCCCAGGCTGGGTTCAAACCCACCAGCCTCAGTGTATGTGGCCAGCACCCTACCCACTAAGCCTTACCCACTGAGCCATGGGTGCCACCCCCATTAAACATTTTTATCTCATAAAATCCAATTTTAATTCTTTATGTTGTTTGTCAAAATATTTGATGCTTGACCCATTTTTGCAAAATTGAGTCATCTCAACATCTAAACCCAATTCTGGGCAAAGCATCCACTTTTCTCAGTTTTGTATTTGCAAATCTCTATTTAGAATTTTTTTTTCTGTATTTAGTCCCCTGGTTTTACCTTTGCTTAACTGTACAACTCTATGTACATTTCCTTTGCAATATTTTTTACACTAATAAACTCATTTAAGTGCATACTATGGCTATTTTGTTTACATAATTTTTCTTCCTAAATTACTAATTTTTTTTTTTTGGAGGTAGAATCTCACTATGTCACCCTCAGTAGAGTGCTGTGGCATCACAGCTCACAACAAACTCAAACTCTTGGGCTTAAGCAATTCTCTTGCCTCAGCCTCCCTAGTAGGCGGGAATATAGGTGTCTGCCACACTGCCCAATTTTTTTTTTTTTTTTGCAGTTTTTGGCCAGGGCTGGGTTTGAACCTGTCACCTCCGGCATATGGGGCCAGTGCCCTACTCCTTTGAGCCACAGGCACTTCCCTGCCCAACTATTTTTTGTTGCAGTTGCCTTTGTTGTTCTAGCTGGCCCAGAACCTACCACCCTTGGTATATGTGGCTGGCTCGTAACAACTATGTTACAGGCGCTGAGCCAATAAAAATGTTTAATAGGTATGAAGCTTATTTTTCATTCCATAATCTTGTGTGTAAATTTCTTAATTGGTATCAGATGATTCTTCAGTGACTTTTGACTGCAGAGTTGATCTTTAGTTTGAAATATAGTAGCACCTCCATATGCAAACCTTATTCACAAGTGGGCATCAATCATATAAAACTATGTGGAAAGTAAAAGTGCACGAACAAGAACCTAACAAACAAATATCTCTTCATCAATCTTTCATTAAATATAAGGACACATGATACTCATATAAATATTTTATCCTATCATAAAGTATATTGTCACTGGCAGTAAAAGCCTTGTATTTATGTATAATTCAGTGTTATTCTCTTTCATCTAGACTTAGAAGTTCTAACAGTAAATACAATGAAAAATAAAGAAGAAATTAAACTTCAGAAACAACTCACTAAAACTTCTTATTAAATAAAATTCTGTATGTATATGTTTTCTTTTTAATCTGTGTACATATGTAGTCTTCGTTAGTCTGACGTTCCCTTCAAAAGAACAATGAGTAATTTCTTAAAATTGATTGTTGGGATGTTTCTGGGCATGTCAATTCAATTTTCTACTAAGGGTATGCTGAGGGTTGGTTTTTAAAATGATAACCTTGAGATATAGCATCAATCTTCAAAGCAAATATTTATTATGCCCATTTTACTTATTGAGGTAGAAAAGTAGACTCACCTAAAACAGATAAGTAAATTGACTAAATGTACCATAATTAACTGAAAGTTAACAAAAATTAAATTTTCTCTTACTAGTTGACCAGATGATTTTTCTAGATTATTTTCCATTCCCTCTTTTCTCTGGTCCTCCATAGCAGGATCCCTATTTTAAATGAAAAAGAAAAGATATATTCTTTATATTCACAAAGAACACAATGAAGTTGTGGTAGCAAAGAATCTAACAATTAAATCCTGTCTGAAGTTTCAGAAGTGTTAACAAATATGTAGCAAAGATTGATAATAATGGTAGGTGCTATATCCTTTAGGGACTCAAGTTAAAGAAATTAGGTCATGCCCTTACTGGATGGTGGTAGAGGAAATAGCACTCTAGCAGACACACAATAGATATAACAGCACTGTTTCAAGAGAGAAAACAAAAGGGTCCTTGAAAAAGTTAAAGTTGTTTGTGTGTAGGTTTATGAAAATACAGGTTAGGAAAAGATCAATTTTTCAAAGATCATTTTTTCTGTATGTGGCTCCTAGACTTACAACTGTCCAATTTTCCAAAATATTTTTTTAATCGAGGAAGACTATCATATTTAGAAATTATTAACTAATTTTGGTAAAAGAAAGAGGCTGACAGGTTTTGCTTTTAATATTGACTCAAAATGTGAACATATTTATAGTGTTACATATTGAACTGAAAAATATATTTATAAAATTACTTTTGTCTACATATAGAACCATGATACAGAAATTGTAATAAAATCATATGTAATTTATAGAATCTTAATTTTGTATGCTAGCAGAAATAAAACTAAGGTGAGCAATTTATATTTACTCAATTATAAATAAATTACTCAATTTATATTTACTCAATTTATATTTACACAATTTATATCGTGATTTACTCACAATGGTATTTTATAAATATTATCCTATTTTACTCTACATATATGTATTCCTTTGATAGACAACCATTTATCATCTACTACACGCTAACTGATTTTTCTAGGGAAAAATGGATCAGATAAATAATATAGTATTATCTACATTTTCAAACTCCTAGTGAAAATGTCAACAAAAGATGATTTATACATACAAACATTTCATGTTTCTCAGTGCTCTTTAAAATTTCATTGTAAAGACAAACCTATTAACTGTCTTTTCTTCCAGAAAAAAAAAGACAAAGAACATCTGTATGTTATCGAGAAATGAAAAATACTGCAACAGTATTGAAGCCTTTCAAGGTTTGAGAGAGTACAAAATATTCTAAAATGTGTACTCTACTTGCTAACTCCACCTCATGATCATTCACTCCTTAAAATAACCTTGACATACAGCATAAGTCACCAAAGCAAAAGTTAATTATGACCATTTTACTTACTAATAAAGGTAGGCTCACCTAAAACATTTTAACAGATAATTAAATTAACTAGATTTATCATACATTCTCATACATAGTCTTTATCAACTAAAAGGTAATCAGCTCTGTAACAAATTTTTATGTGTAACCACAAACAATCCTTATTTCTCCCTTTGTACAAAATAGCAACACAGTCAAAATCCTTCCCCCAAATTTTTCTTAAATACTTTTTCTTGCTATTTCTTCAGCCAAATGACCTCCCATCCTCCCTTGCTTCCACACCCAGCAAAATGCTTCTCATCTTTTAAAAATAAGTTCAAATATCACTTTGTGGAACTCATTCAATCCCCAGTCAATAAATACTGTTCCTTCCTATGTATAGCCATAGATCATCTCTAACGTAATATTTATGTAATTGTTTAAAGGTATCATTACTTTCTATGTATCTTCCTACTATAAGCACTCTTTAACTATGTAAATTTTGTCTTACTTGATTTCCTAAACCAAGCAGTCAATAAATGCTTGTAAAAATAAATTAATTGGTCATACTGCTTATTATATGAGAGGTCAAAGTTGGAGGGAGATCTCCAATACTAACCTGCTATATCATATAACAGAGGTACAGGTGGGTTTCACTTGTCCTGATTGGAGGAAACAATTGTCATTTGGTCTGGTACCAAATGAACTACTTAGTATGGTCTTCTGGTTAACTTACTCTTTATTAAATGGGAATAATAACAGTATACAACTTAGAGAATTGTTAAGAGATTTATAGGAACTAACATTTATGAAAACATTAAAACCAATGCTTCACACATAGTAAGCAGTAACTCTATGTAAGTGTTTGTTAAAATGATAAAACATTATTTTGGTGAGAATATTCCAAGAGCAGCAACATGTAGCATGTTTTTCAATTCTTAGCTATTTAGCCAGGGTGTAATTCCTAGTGAACTTTTCTAAAATTAGATTATACCCAGTCTACATTTTCCTCACTAATCAAAGTTGCCAAATTTTCCTGAAGCATAAGAGTATCTCATTCATACTAGTTAGAAAGGTTATTGGAAAAGACAGATATCATGTCTTTGGAATATAACAAATGCAGTCGGCTTTTGTTAACCTATCTCTTACCTCACGAAAAATTCTTCTGGTAGAGAATCCATGCTGCACAAGCTTCCTTTACAAAAACTGATATTTACTACTGCTGTTCAACACTGTAAAAAAAATATTTAATGGGAAGAATAAAATATTACATTCTTTCCACTATAAAAACAGCACAAGATCATTAAAGAAACCTTTGAAGTGCTCTAAAAGACAACGAATCACAGTTTCACCATCTAAACATAATCACCATCTCTACTTTCATATACCTTTTTCTAAGCATAGGTGTATTTTACTAATTTGTAATCATATTGAATAACCTTTTCACTACTGAATATCATATCAAAAACATCTTCTATTTTATTTTATCCTCCTAGTAAATATTGTTAATGGCTATACAATTGTTGGTTGATTGGCATTTCCTTAACTATTTTCATACACTTGGATATTTTGTTTTCCATTATAAACAATTAGTTCCATAATAAACACCATCATCCATAAAGCTTTTTCCTTATTTACTATTTCCTTACAATAAATTCTCAAAAGTAGAATTAGTAAGTCAAAAGACATTAACGCTTAAAACTTCTTGGTGCATATTGCTAAACAGCTTACAAAGAGGTTTGTACCAGTTCAGTTCTCACAGCAGTATATGAGTTCCTCCTTAACACAATCTTGATAGCACTAATCATTTTGTTTCCTTTAAGTCTGGAAATAACAGGTGGCCACTATTCCCCCAAATCATGTGATTCTACATCTCCATAAAATAGGAGAAGTGAGATATAAAATACACTTACATACTGTGATTCTAGTATCAGTGGATGTAGTGAAAGTTTCCCCCCAAAATATCTGAAACACAAATGAAAACAAAGGAGACTAGAGAATTATTAGCGTATCGATTTATATAGCCTTCCATTTTTAACTGCTCTAAAAACAACTCTTCTAAAATTGGTCCTGTTTAAACTCCTTTACTGAGAGTTCAAGCCCCCAGACACCAGAGCCCTCTGCTAAGGTAGCTTCTCTTTCTGATCCCACTCTAAGCCCACAAAGGATTAGAGCAAGCATATTGAAAGAAACTAGGTGTTCCTGGGCACAGGAAGAAAAGCTGAGGAAAAAGAAAAAAAAAAAATGGCAGCAATAGCATATAAAACAGACCTAGACTGCCTTCCTGTCAAGACCGAATAAAGATTCTTATTTGTCTCTAGGCCACTTAATTTATCTCAGTAACTGAGTGGGCAGTTTCTCTCACAGCACATTTAATGCACAACAATAGATGAGACTGTAGCCCCATACTAAAGGTAATTCTGATGGGTAATTCCTAAATCAAGAAAATATATAGTACAAGATCAATTATAAGTCACCTATTAAGAATTCGGATTGTATTTACTCCAAGAAACATTTTTCTAATTATGTTGCACACCCTAAAAAGGCAATTTAATACAACTGAAAAAGAAGTAACTTTAATACCTGGCCCTTCTAACCTTTAAGGTCTGAGTATCTTCTTATTAGTAAGCTTAGAACAGAGGAAGGGGCAACTTAGCCCTGGTATAAAGATCATCTGTAAAACAAGTATTCCTAATTAGGATATTATGTGCCAATATCTGCATTTGAATCACAACAACTCTACACGATACAGAAAGTCTTCACAGACAGGAGTATTTCTCTAACAGTTTGATTCTGATAACTTCTTAATTGAAACCTCTTAATTTCTTGCCTATCCTTAACCAAAAACATTTCTTGCTGTCAGTATTACAACTCACTTATGTAGAATTCAGTTCTTCTTGGTAAATTATTTTATTTTATAGTTTTACTCATTTTAAAATTCAATAAGCAAAACCATAAGAAAATTCATATTTAAATTTGTATTCTCTGTTCAAATACTAATGAAAAATAGAATCTACAGCTAATAATGAAGCAGAGAGATTGGATAAAATTTGTCAGTCTTTCAAAGATCTGCTCCATCTCTTCAATAAAGCTAAACAGAGAAGGACAAAGCTTTGAGAATTTTAGAATTATGATCAAACTATTTTTTTTGTGGTTCCTATAAATATACTATCCTAATAAAAAAGTAACATTATTATTAACACATTATTTCACAGCCAAAGAATACAAACGTTTGCCTTTCCTGGACAAAACAATTCCCTCACTTCCACAATTTATAAAAGCTCAGAAACAGAGACCTCCCCCTCTGGTAAGCTCTTCTTCATTCAGTAGCTATTTGCACAGACCACATCAAGGATGAAAGGAAGGGAGGAAAATCCTCTGGTGACAAGATAGAGAGGATGGAAGGCCTCTGCTAAGCTGTTCATTGTTCAGCTTGAAAAAGAAAGGATGGAAAATTAATCAATCAATAAATCAGAAGATAATCTGGATCCTGAATTAACAGAGTTAAGAAAGCCTAATGGCTTCCTTTTTCAGCTCTTAGAATACAACATGAGACGAACCTCTGTGATGAAAGGTTTTCCAGGAGAGAGGATCATCAACCCCGTCATTTCCCAGGAGCTAAGCAGGTATGTGTGGCAAACACTACTGGCAACAGCGGCAGCAGTAGCACTTGACAGCCTGTTGGGGAGGGAGGCGTAAGTGCCTAGCAACCGAAAGGAAGTAGCCAGCCTGAAATGTTGCCACTGTGCTTCTGAAATCATCCAGGTTCTTACATTCTAGAGGACGCTGGAGGAAACCTTTAAATCAGAGTTAACGTGGGAAAAAGGATAAATCTAGTTTCCCTTGGTACATTCGTTTCAGTAGACTTTCCCTGTCAGCAGGAAACAAAAATTTCCTCTATGTTCCTGGCACTGAGGGACTGTTTTTCTGCAGGAATCTATTTAAGTTCTTGTTGATTGATCTGAAAGCAAGCTCAAGTTCAATGTCAATTTACAGAACACCTTAATCCACCAATGGAAATGATCTGTAGGCTGTTTTACTGTTTGAAAAATAAGGTACTTTCACCTATGTCTTAATAAACACTAGCCATGCCTTTCTTACCACTAGCTCCCACTTTCCCTCTTATTTACAGAAATTATAACAAGGTTTTTTTAGTTGTAAAGATGTTTTTTGTTTCCACTTGATGTGCTTATTCACATCAAAGCAGGCACAGCTCTCATTTATAATTTTTTCACCATTCATTTAAACATTTAACTTGTGGCACTACTCACCTCCCTAAACCACATAGGCACACTTTTTGTAAAAATCCACTCAAATGTTTCATCTTTACTAAGTAACCTGACCAAGTTAGAAGCTCCAATTTGCCAGCAAATTTACATTTCAATGTGTGGGTGGATGTCCCATGAAATTTTCAGGTTTCCCAACTCCAGCACTTACAAATTATACAATGCCAAGTGAAAAAATTAAAAATTAGTATGGAAAATAATAAAAATAAAGCCTACACTTTTTTCAATACTACTAGCTCAAAAACAGAGTAATGTATTTGGCGTTTTCCTGGAGAGAATTTGTTACTTACACCCTCAGGGTTTCTGAATCTTGGCCGTATTAACATTCTTAGCTTGATAATTCTTTGTTATGGGAAACTGTCCTACACATTTTTAGGATAGCATCCCTGTCTCAGCCCACTAGATGCTAGTAGCAACTCCTCCAACCCTCACCTTCTTTAAACTCACTAACCCCTACTGTGGCAATCAAAGATGTCTCCAGATATTGCCAAATATCCCCTGGGGTACAAAATTGACCTGTGTTGGGTTGAGAACCATTGAACTTTACAAATGGGTTAAGATAAGAACCTTACTTAAGTAGACATAGAACAGATTGTTTGGGAGAAGAAAAATAAGACCATTCCGATACTATGTGGCATGTTTAAACACAAACATTACATTAGTTTAGGAGAAAGCAAAATGACATAAAGTAGCTCATTAGGTTCCTGGGAATGCCAAAATAAGTTGAGAAGCTATACAGGAGTTTAAGAACACACCAGGGAAATCACTCAGCAAGGGTATATTTAGGCCTTTGTTGACACATAGCAGCTATACCACCTCATGTGAAGTTCATAGACCACCTCTTGTGCCTCAGATTCCTTACCTGAACAGTGGGGATAGTAGTGGTACCTACTTTATGAAGGTTGTGAACCTTAAACACTTAAGAACATGTAATAGACCAGTACTAGGCACATAATAAGCACTATCACTACCATCTTCATCATCATAATCATCATCATTTAATTGTTTAGGTTCGTAGCAAAATTAGTTCACATTTCTTCTAATTCTCTACCGAAATGGAGAAATAACACTGTAAAGAAAGGAATGATAATGAGATTTAAGAAATGGGACAAAAAGGAGGGCACTGCTAATCAACAGGAAGGGGGTGGGGGGGGAGAGAGAGGGAGATCACTGCACACACTGCCCCTCTGTGTGATTAACCACCTGTGGTTTAACTCACAGTCTTTTGAGTTTTATAGCACCTGAAAAGTACTGAGCAGATAGGAGTGTGACCCTCCCCTATATCTACTAGGAACACATTGGGAGAGGTCCAATAAAGCCAACCTCATAGAGAGAGAGAAACAAACAAAAACCAGTTTCATAGCCACATCCTATTATAACTCTGCAGCAATAACTTTTTTTTTCTTTGATCACCCCCCATGCCCCCCCCCAAAACCCATAAACTCTTTACATTAGAGGCTGGCATTTCTTTCTTTCATTCTGTGTCCTTTCCTCCCTTGAAAAGCAAAATAAACTTTTTCTTTAAACCTATCCTAATCTGTGTGGAGAATTCTTTCTCTTCACATGCTGTGAGTTCCTACCCTAACAGAACAAAAAGTTACTTTTCAAGTATTATCACACATGACACAAATGGCCGCTTCACAGATATATACACGTTGTTCTGCATCTTGCATTTTTCACACCAGTCTTTAAACCACACTACATAGCACTGTATGAATGTATCATTTTACTGGACCATTACTGATAAAAATTTTAGTTGTCTCTGAGCTTAACTATTATACACAATGCTGCAATTAACAGCAACTCAGTTGAATGTGCAACTCAGTAAAACTTTGATAATTATTTTGAAAAGCCAGGTTTACCGCAACTTTAAATTACTATACCAAAGTTCACACGCAGTTCTGTTAATATCAAGCAGACTCTGAAACTGCTAGTTATCATTTCTGCCAGATTTTACCAAAAGAATT